TGTTCCTTTGGACCATTTTTCAATTTATAACCTAAAATCATACAGTTTGGGTAATTATTTTTTTAAAATACTCTTCTGACCAACACAATAAGAAATGAAGTATAAATATTTGAAAATAGATAAATTAAATTTATTTGTTGATATGAAATACTTCTAGAAATATGAATTCAAGAGGTTAAATTTAATGAGCTTGGCAAAAATTTGTGGCATTCTTACATACTAATAATAGTTGGAAAATAAGGAAATGGAAAGCTCACTTTTTTTTATCCTTATTCGAGGATATTTTTTCATTGATTATTAGAGAGTGGAAGAGAGAGGGAAAGACAGAGCAATATTGATGTGAGGAAAAACTCATTGATTGGTTGCCTCCTTACAATTTACCCGGCCTGGGAGGGGCCTGCAACCGAGGTTTGTGCCCTTGACTGGAATCAAACCCAGGACCTTCTGGTCCGCAGACCGATGCTGTATCCACTGAGCCCAATGGCTAGGGCAAAAATTCACTTCTTTAAATGTACTGAGCCATTCAGGCTGTGTTCTTCTCATTCAGGAACCTAGGCTGACAGACCCTCCACCATGTGGAATAAATCTGGTCACCATGGGAAGGTGAAGGGAACATCACAAATAACACGTTGGTCTTAAAAGCTTCCTTCCAGAAGTGACACACGGAACTTGTGCTCACAGTCTATTGACCGTGGCAGGTTGCACAGCCACAGCTAATTTAAGGGAAGGAGAGTGAGAATATTTGTGAACAGTAATTACTACCAAAGCCTTTTTCTTGGACGTAATTTTAGCAGTTCATCATTGGCTAAAGATTGAGGATTGTATATCCCAGTCTGGCTCTGGGACTTGTCAATGTATAATAGAACTTTTAAAAAATCTAAATGAAATACTTCCAAATTCAAGTAAACGATGTTTTACTTAAGGTGGCCTAAGTCATTTTGCTTTGGTGTTGGATTTGGGTTTTTTTGTTTCTTTTTGTTGTTATGCAAGTGTTTTTGCTTTTGTTTTTTTAGTTGAGGAATAATTTACATAAAATGACATGCACAGATCTAAATGTATAGTTAGATCAGTTTTGACAAATGCATATAGCAGTGTTTCCTACACCCATCAATATAAGGAGTATTTTCATCATCCTCTGAAGTTCTATCTTGCCCCTTCTCAGTCCCCTGATCTGATTCCAAAACATCCAGTGATCAGTTTTCCCTGGATTTCTATCACCATAGATGTACTTCTTCTAGAACTTTATATAAATGAACTTAAGGTAGTATATATGTTTTTGTGTCTGGCTTCTTTTGCTTAGCATATTGTAAAAATTCATCTGTGTTGTTGTGTGCCAATTTGATTTTTTTTTTTACCACTGAGTAATATTCCATTGTATTAATATATCATGTTTCTTTTTCTTTTTTTAAAAATATGTTATATTGATTTTCCATAGAGAGGAAGGGAGAAGGATAGAGAGCTAGAAATGTCGATGAGAGAGAAACATCGACCAGCTGCCTCTTGCACACCACACCCCCTACCGGGAATGTGCCCGCAACCAATGTACATGCCCTTGACCGGAATCGAACCTGGGACCTTTCAGTCCACAGACTGACTCTCTATCCACTGAGCCAAACCGGTTTCGGCTCATGATTCTTTTTAATCCATTTGACTGTTTATAGGCACATGCTAATTCCAATTTGGGCTAATATGAAAGCTGCTATGAATGCTTTTTGTGCAACACTTTTTGTTAATAGGTTTTCATTTCTCTTGAATAAATAAGAGTGGATAGCTGATCGATGATTCTCTCACATCGATGTTTCTAGCTTTCTATCCCTCTCTCTTCCTCTCTGTAAAAAAAAAATCAATAAAATATATTTATTTTAAAAAAAGTGGAATTGCAGGTTCATATAGTAGATATATATTTTAACTTTTAAAAAATTAACAGCTGCCTATATATTTTAAGAATTTAACAGCTGGTTTGGTTCAGTGGATGGAGCATCGACCGGAATCGAACCCGGGACCCTTCAGTCCGCAAGCTGATGCTCTGTCCACTGAGCCAAACGAGCAAGGGCAGGGCTCTACTTAATAGCTGTTGTTAGATTTACTCTCTAGCTGGTAACTTTCAGGTCTCTCCCCCTCGAACACTAGGATTGGATATCCATCTGCCGCCTTATATAACGTCAGAGCTTGGCTGTCCCATAGGCAGCTCACACTGAGCTCTTCTCCACCATCCTCCATTCCCAACCCTGGTTCTGCACTCATGTACCTTATCATGGTGAATCCTCTCAGTTGCCTACGCCTCCCCCCTCCTTGCACACTAAAGTTCACCCAGTCCTGTTGACTCTACTGCCTTACTAGATTTTTCTTGTGTCCATTTCTCTCCACTTCCCACTGTTGCTACCTTAGTTCAGACCTTCCATGTCTGGGTCCTGGAGCACTACAACAGCCCATAACTGAGGCCTATACCTTGAAGATTGCCTCCCCCGATTCACTGCCTGCACTGCATCCAGAGGGATACATCCATAATACACACCGGAATTTGTAATGATCCATTTAGAACCCTAACGTCTTCCCAGGATAAAGCCTCAACCCCATATTTTCCTTTCAAGATCTCACATTCCAGCTCCATTTCTTATCTCTTTCATAAGTTTGGCCCCAACCCCTAGATTTCTCCCCATAACAATCTTTTGCTAAAATTCTTTGCCTGGCCTGCTTGTTCTGCATAGAATAAACATCCTTCCCTCCCTGCTCATCCATTCTGTCCCCCTCACCTAGCATAGCATATCCATCAGGACGCAGCCAAATTGTTTCTAAGTTCTGGGAAGTGATCTCTGCCATCAGGCTGCCTTCCCCTGGGGCTGGAGTAAGTCTCCTGCCCCGTGTGCCCTGTCACTCCGTACTTACCGTAGCAGGGCTTTCAGCACCTGTGCTGCAGGACTGGAATTGGAGTTCCCAGAGGACAGGGACCTTTTTTTTTTTTTTTTTCCTCTCGTGTTAGCATCCCTACTGGAACATGCAGGTACTTAATGTTTGGAAAATGGTGTAATTGTATTGGTGGTATTAGAGAGCTTACCTAATTTGCTGTTGGACCTATTGGGGATAGCTAATCATTGGAGTGAAGCTAAAAGCATTTGGAATTGCCAGGTTCTCACACATGTCTTGTTTTCACAGCCCGATGAAAATTCACTGGATTTTTCCTCTTGTATGCTGCGGCCTGGTATTAAAAATGCTCAGGAACTTGCCTGTGGGGTGTGCCTGTTAAATGTGGACTCCAGGAGCCGGGTAAGTCACATGCCTTCCCCGGCAGATGGCAAAATGCTTTCCTAACATGACCTGGGGGACAACCCCGTTTAGACCACGTCACTACAAGGGCCATGCCCAGGTGGCAGGGGTTTTATGAAAGCCCTGAAATCTGACCAGAGAAATAGACACATTTTCACAAAAGCAGTGGGGAAACTGTGGATGGAACGCGTGCAGTTCTTCCCTTTCTAGGGAGTGTGCTTTTGCATTGTCCCTGCAGCACCCTGTGCACAGTGGGGTTGTAAAGAGAACAGGCTATCTGCAAGGTTTTGTTGGCAGGCAAGAGGCTCTGTTGTGGGAATTTTGTTTACCTTATGGTTTCAACGTTATTTCAGAAAGAAGAGAAGCCTGCAGAAGAACATCCTAAAAAAGTATGAACCAATTCCACATTATCTTAGCATCTACATCTAATTTTCAGTGTGGAAGGCAAATCAGATGATTCCACTGCCATCCTGACCCATTCCAATCATGAATCTTTAATGAGTCACCTTTGTTCCCATAATGTTTGACTTAACCAACCGTGTGGATCCACTTCCATCTTGTTTGCATGCTTGTGTATCATGATTGGCTTCTGGTGTTGTGGTTATTTTTCTGTGATGAGTAGGGTAACAGAATGAGCAACTTCTGAAAGACTGAAAGCTATAGTGACACATAATGAGATCAAAGAACTTCAAGATTTGGCCATCAGACAAAAAAAATTGTTTGGGTTTTAGAATTTTATTTATTTGTAATGCTTTAAAAAGCACTCTTGGACATGATGTGATTAGGATTTGACTATCTGTAACTCACCTATAAGCCTTATTTATCCAGAAACAATTCTTATATGTTTAATATCTTTATTTATTATGAACCCTGTCCCTATTTGGACTTTTTCATTATGTTGATTCAGTTACCAGCTCCCAATGGCATTAGACCCTAAGAGTTCATAATCTTTTGTTGTTTTTCATGGTCGGTCGGTAATTAGCCACAGAAACTTAAGGGATTACATGTGATAGTCACATGCCAGCCTTTATTCCTTCAGCACAGTGAGAGATAAAAATTAGCCACAGCTCCTGGCTTTGTTAGTTCCTTATATCATGACACCCCTCCTCCCAATCCCCTAGACCAGTGGTCGTCAAACCTGTGGCTCGTGAGCCACATGCGGCTCTGTGGCCCCTTGAGTTTTTAGCAAAGGCCAGCTTAGGAGTACCCTAATTAAGTTAATAACAGTGTACCTACCTATATAGCTTAAGTTTAAAAAATTTGGCTCTCAAGAGAAATTTCCATCATTGTACTGTTGATATTTGGCTCTGTTGACTAATGAGTTTGCTGATCACTGCCTTAGACTCTGCCTTTTCTATGACAAATTTGGTCTTCTTTTGCTGAAACTGGGTTTAATAGTAAAGATACTTTTATCCTTTAATTAGCAGCAATAACTTTCTCACCTGAATTTCTGTGTATATAAATACCTGCTCAGCCTTTGTATGTGTGCCATTTGTGGGCCTCTGTGACTTGGTGAAGTGTGCATGCTGGTTGCTGCTCAGCTCTTAGGTACAGAAGGCTGACTTGCTGCACATGTCTGTTTGTTTCTGGCAGGCATTCAACTCAGACACAGATAATTTCAAGCTGGCATATGGAGGACACCAGTATCATGCCAGCTGTGCCAACTTCTGGATCAATTGTGTTGAACCAAAACCTCCTGGCCTCATCCTGCCTGATTTGCTCTGAAAAGCTCCTCTATGAAGTACCAGCTGGGTGGTGGTGGTGGTTTTTCATCACCCCCATGGGTGGCAGGGACCAATGAACAGAATGCAAGTCCTGCAGAGTTCACCTCTGTGAATTTAAAGGAAGAATTCCTCAAGAGGCGGGCGGGGAAAGCTGCGCACATGCCCAGTCATTCCCACAGAGGACCTGTCTCCTGGTTCCACGGCGCCTTTGGGATTTGCGGTGAAATTGCCCTCCCCAAACTGCATGTGGCCCCAGAGGTTGCTCACTTATCACTAGTTCTTTTAAGATGTTTTCAAATATGGACCATGGTAATTTGCTGCTGCAGTATTGAAACTGTGAAGACTTGTCATTTGAAGAAAAATAAATCGCTGTAGGACTGGAATTGGCAAGCATGTGTTGAGCCAGAGCTTATTTATATCTAGAACACTTATTGTCCTGTGAAGTAGAGTGCATTTATCTGCATTTAGTGTATTTGAAATGAATAAAGAGGGGAAATTGTGATTTAAACTGATGTTTTTTTTCTTAAAAAATTCTGTCTCCATTGAACAAGGGCAGGTAGGTAAGGACAGATTTACCAACTTTGCTGATGCAACTGAACCAATTAACCATTTCTCTTCTCCCTGCATTCATTTCTAAAACTATCAAATTTCAAGAAGACTTTTTCTCAAACATGCCTGGGTACTTTGCAGTGGAGAAAGTTCATTTTGCCAGAAGCCCCAATCCTTGAGGATCAGAATGATATTCTTCCCGTTAGGGGCCTTCGCTGAAAGCCTTCAATTTTACCTCATGACTGTGAACGTGGTTTTTTTTTTTTTTTTTCAGACAAGATTTGGAAAGGCAGCTGAATGAAATCTTTTTGCAGTAGGCTCTGTCCAGATTTCCAAAAATGACTGCCTTTGTACCAGTACTGCCGAACTTTGCAGTATCTACGTGAGAGACCTGAAAATTTAAGGTTGGAAGGTGGAATTCCTGGCCTTGAGAGGTGAATGTGATGTGCATCTATGGTAAAGGTAACAGAACTTAGAAGTAGTGGAAGAAACTTATTCACAAAAGCAGCACTGAATTTTAGAAGGAAAAAGCTCATGCTATTGTAGGGGATTGTCTTTGCCACTGAAACTAATACATCAAATCAGGGGGGAAAGCCAAGTGGTTAGGACTGTCATTCCTAGGAAGAACATGCCAGTTTAGGACACATATTTGTAAGGTGTAAATTATGCGACTTTATGAAGAGATTTTGAATCTTTTATGTTTCACTCTATGACTTGTGGTGACTGACCTAGACTTAAGTTTTTATTTGTAACTGAAAAATTTGGTTTTGCCAATATAATTGCTGCCTTGCATAATCAACTAGATTACTTTCCCTTCTCAGGACAGAACTTGAGGAATTGTCTTGCTCCATCTTACACCTTTACCTCCACCCTCTCCAGAAAAGGTTTACAACATTTCCATGACGCTTCTGCTTTTACCTTGCTGTGCATCAGAACGTAGAGAAGTGTTGATGAGGTAAGTCTGTTTTTCTCATTTGCTCCAGCTGATGCCATCTCCAGCTAAGGACTGAGACAGCTGTCTCTGAATTGTTACTACCTCCAGAGCCTTTGCCCTCCATGAGGCTGTGGAGTGCAGGCTTTTCCTGAGGCTCCTGTGCATTAATTCAGCGGGATCAGCCCCTAGGGTTTCAAATGGCACCTAAATTCAAGCAGGCTTCTGGTTGGTCTTATGCATTCCATAACAAAATCTACCTTTGCTACAAGAATATCACCCGGTTTGACAGAATTTACATTGCTAAGACTTTCTTAAATGCCATATGTGTTGTTATTTTCACAATGGCCTTTATCAGTAACATTTTTTAAAGTATGCTAACTAGATTGGTTCCCATTCCCAGATATACTCCAGAATGCCTCAGATAAAATCCTACATATTACTGCTGACCTTATCAGGAATGGTAGATTTAGTCACTCCATGGGAAATTGCAAGAGGAAAATATGGCAAACACCAACAAAAAGCCTTTGCTATGAAAAGTATTCATTACTTTCATATCTATGTAATAGTAGAAGTGTCTTATTAGATACCACCAAGGACTTGGGGAGTGTGGGTACCATTGTGTTGATGAATGCATTTATTAAAATGACTCAACATTGCCTTCAGCTTCACCTCAGCTCGTTAGCCAAGAGCCATGTCCTTGGAAACAGTAACCAAGGTTACTTACTGTGTATCGTGCCGACAGTTTCACCCATTGCTTAAGAGGTGGTTAATAAGCCCTTTTTTAAAATTGTATTTTGCCTTTAAAAACGTTTTGGCATAGTGTTAATGCTTTTATTTTTGTGCTGATATGCTGAAGGTAGAAGTGAGTATATTAGGATATGATCCATTCTTTATTTTTCCCGTGGCACTCTAGGTTGAGTATTTTAAATTGAGTATTTTGTGTACATATACATACTTTTTTTTTTTTTAAAGATACCTTCTACTTGCCTTTTATTTAATGACTTGTGTTCTTAAGCTTTGAAAATTGTTACAGAAATTTGAAATGCTTGCCTTGTACTAGGGATCACTACAAAAATTCCCCTAATATCTTGTAGGTTACACATCTTCCTTTAATAGCTGGTCCTAATAAATTCTGACATTTGGATTAGAAAGGTGTTAAACTTCCCTGGGGCTAAGGATGCTCTTAGTTATCACAGTGGTGGTGTTTGCCAGGATTTCTGCAGAAAATTTTCCTTAGTTACCAAGAACATATCACTAAGTATTTTCTTACTAGTGTAAAATGATTATTTTGGACTTTATCTAGTTTGCCTTCATACTAAAGCAGCCATGGCCTCCAGAGCCATAGTATTATTTTGTTGTTCTTTTGATTATGTGCTGATGTAGCATTTATGGTTCCTCTTATTTCCCAGAGAGAAACTATTAGCTTTTTTTGAATTTTTCTATTTAGACAGTGATGATATACGTGGTTATAAAAGTGGGCAAATGATATGAAAGAAAAGGTAGAATTTAGACGGAAACCACTGACCAGGTATAATTTATATAAATATGCAGCCACTGACATCATATTCCTAGCTTCTTACCAAAATAGACTAAAATTTTAGAAAATTATTCCACAGCCAAACTAGCTATAGCCTACCTAGCAAATGGGTGAAAAAGAGCAGTGCTGTGGCAAGTGGCTCCCCTTTCTAAAAATGAGGCAACCTGCTAATGCCCAGTGGCTTCCCAGGAACATGGAATAATTACCACTTACCTACAACTCCTGGTGAGCTGTCAGATTCATTAGGGCCAGTTGAGGAAGCTGTTGTTATTTGCTTAACACTAGTTTTAGGTTAGGGCATGTGTGTCTGTTAATAGTCAAGAAAAAAAAAATCTTTTGTGGAAAAAAAAATTGTTTGATGGAGAATTCATTGCTTTGATGCACTTAAAGTTACCAAGAGACTACTGAAAACTGCCTTTTGTCAGAGTGTACACTTCTTGCTGTTTTTCAGTTCCAGCACTGTAAAAGGTATCAGCCAGGATGTGAAATGTTCGATATGATTCAGCTGGGATGTCTATTTTCAGTAATGTTCATTATTGTCACAGAAGCCATATTATAACAATTATTGGAGAGCATCTTTCTTCCATTCAACATAACACACACACCCTAAAATTCTTCTTAGTAAATATTCTAGTATGTTAAGCAGACAGGTTTATTAAAAATAATATAGTCTGGGGCACATTGATTCCAAGAGGGTGATTGCAGCAGATTTTGTTATAATTAACAGCTAAATAATAAAGATTTTTTTACCTTACAAAGATACTAAATAATAAAGGGAAAAGGAAAGAGTAGGGCTAATCCAGCAGAGACTGAAGACGGTCGGTATCAATCTTCCCTAAGCACTTGTGTGGTCAGCAGCCTTAGGCAAAGCTTGTCTCTATAGGATTAGCCCAAAGTGATTTTTGCACTGAGCTTCTCTTGCACCTTTCATGCCAAAAGGCATGGGATTCAAGATAGAGCAGAACCAGTTCAAATTATTAAAAATGATTAAGAGCTAAAGATTTTCATAAACACTATTCCAAAATGTTAGTTTTAAAAATGTTATTAGCAATGTATGCATCCCCCTTATGTTCCTCCCCTCCTCCCTACCTTTTAAAATAAACCTGAACACTTCAGGGAGAACCAAAAAGTCAACCAATTGAAAAGAAAGGTGAAGAGGGGAGCAGACACTGTGTAGCAGATGCTGGTACTGCTGGAGGGGCTGCTGATGCAGGCTTTGCTGGCATTAAATCCCCCAGTAAGGCATCAGGTGTCGGGACTCTTTCTCATAAACATCTGGAACTATGCCATAAGGTGTCTGTACCATTTTAACTGTCGACTTCCCAAAAAGCTGGCGCTCGTAGTCTATCAGCTGCCTCCAGAAGCCCACATTGGGCCTGATCACAGGCCTCCGGGCTTTCACCCAGTTGTACGCCTCCAGCAGGCACACACTGTGGAATTTCATCAGGTAAGCAATGCAGAGGGTGGCCGAGCGGCTCACCCCCGCCGCACAGTGCACCAAGGTGGCCCCGTGCTTCCTGCTCACACTGTGGATCTTGTCGGCCACCGTGTCAAAGTATAGTCCAATGGGGGCATGCGGCATGTCGGCCAGAGGCACTTTGACATATTCGAACTGGGGCCAGTTGAAATTGGGTATCTCAATAGTAGCATTAACAATGCAGGTGATGCCACGAGCCTGGAGGAGGTGCCGGTTGGAGGCCACACTGCCTCTGCCCAGGAAGAGAGAGGAGGTGATTTGAGCGATGCCTCCTACGTCTCCCTCAGCGATCATCCGAGGGGCCATGAGAGTCCGTGGTAGTGTGCTGTGACCTCTGGAGCTCATGAAGACACTGACGATCACACTTGCATCATTGGAAGCGAGACCAGAGCGTTTTGTTTTCCTCCACCAGGGAATCCGAAATTACAGTCTCCGTCCTGCAAAATACAGGTACCTGTCAGTATTTTATATAGTACTGATTCATCACAGCCTTCTGCATATTTGTGGAATGGGAAGGAAAAAGGGTTAGAAATGGTTATTTTCTATGATATAGAGTTTGTTCTTTCAAGGACCTGGGCAAGTCATCTAAGGAATATCAGGAAAAGTAGCCTAAGATACCAATATGTAAAATTTATGTAAAACTCGGCACTCTGGCGATTGTTTGTTTAAAAAGGCATTAAATGGAAATATCCTATTTTAGGAAAATGGAAAACAGAGACATGCCCAGCTGCTTTTTTTAAATTTTACTTTTTAATATATTATTGATTACAGAGAGGAAGGGAGAGAGAAACATCATTGATGAGAATCATTGATTGGCTGCTTCCTGTTCGCCCCCCCATTGGGGAATCCAGTCCGCAACCAGGGACCTGTCTCAGTCCGCAGGCTGATCCTCTATCCACTGAGCCAAACCAGTCAGGGCCCTGCTGATTTCTGAACCAGTAATCTTGTAGGGTTTTGCTTTTATTGAAGTGAGTTTCTTGGTAATTAGGAAGAAATCAGAAATTCTGACCCCTTCTATAGCCATGTTCTTTCAGAGACTGTTGCCTATCTTCATGTCTAATTCTAGAAAGAGATCTTATGATACCATATATTCAATGAATTGCCTTTGTAGACTAAAAAGATACTGAATTGGATCAGTGACAGAAAATCCAGGATATATGGTCACTTTAGCCCTTTACTATTTAAAAAAAGTTCCTCCTTTCATATTTGTGACATCTGAATAATTTGGAAGTTTGTGCTGTGGTATTTCTATGGAAATAATTCCAGGTAATTTGAAAGCCATGGTCTCTAAAATCATTTGTCTAAGTTAAGCATTTTAGCCAAAACCAGTTTGGCTCAGTGGATAGAGCATCGGCCTGTGGACTGATTCCGGTCAAGGGCATGTACCTTGGTTGTGGGCACATCCCCAGTAGGGGGTGTGCAGGATGCAGCTGGTTGATGTTTCTCATCGATGTCTCTAACTCTCTAACCTTGTCCCTTCCTCTCTGTAAAAAATCAATAATTTATTTTTTTTTAAAGCATTTTAGCTGACCTGAGCCCCTGGGTTTGGTTGAAAAATTTCACCTTAACCAATTCTAAGCTCCAAGGCGAATCTCACTGGCTTCAGATGTGTTGAATTAAAATGAATTTAACATTTAAAGATACGTGTATATATTATATATATCCTCATTAGCACAGAGTTTACTTACTGTAAGACATTCGATATTATATAAGTTCTATGTAACAACATATATTAGTAACAATAGAAAACACAACTCTTGGTTTCCTGGGATTTCAGACACCAGTTCCTCTCACTTCAGATGCACGTTGCTTTATAGTCTGTGTCCCCTAGGAAGGGTGCTGACCTCCACCCAGGATATTGTAGAAATGCCTGAAGTTATTTCAGTCGGACAAGAATATCCCTAGTTCTACAGGCAGAGGTAGTGTTGGGCTACTCACTTGGGAGGGGTCTGGTTACTCTGGAATCCTGGGTCTGGGTCTGGCTCTGGCAAGTTATGAGCGAGCTGATCACAGTGGATATAAATTAGGTCTGCAGAAACACAAGGAGGCAAGCATGTGGCCCAAGTTCAAAAGAATTCCCCCTGGAATTCCATGTTGGCCCTTTTTATTTATTCATTTACTGGAGGCCCAGTGCGCGGGGAGGGGGAGTTCTAGGGGGCTCCCCCTCAGCCTGCACCCTCTCCAATCCGGGACCCCTTGGGGGATGTCCAAATTCCTAACTGCCCCCCTCCTCGCCCTGCTGCTCGACTGTTTGGTCGCCCCACACAGCCTGTTGAATTGTTCTTAGGCCGCGACCATCGCTTAGGCTTTTTTTTTTTTTTTTTTTTTTTTTTTTTTTTATAGATGTGACAATGAGCACCTGACCCTCTGCCTTTCCCCCAAGTAACCATCACACTTAAATTTTTAATATTTTTACAGCTCTTGAGTCATAACTGGTGTACAATTTGATGAACTTTGACATAGGCATACACTGGAGATAATATGACTTGGAAAAAAATCTATCACCCCCCCCACAAAATTTCCTCATGCTCTGTTATAATTCACCCCTCCCTCACTTTCTAGCCCACTCCCTAGCAACCCCTGATCTGTTTTCAGTCACTACAATTTGCATTTTCTACATTTTCATATAATAAAATCATAGGACATACAGGGTAGTGTTCTTGCTGGGGGAGGAAACAATTTTCTGATTTTCACTAAGTGTAGTAGTAGTTTTTTTTAATCCTCACGGAGGACATGCTTTCATTGACTTTATAGAGAGTAACATTGATTGATTAGTTGCCTCCTGCACGAGCCCTGATGGAATCAAACCCAAGATATTTTCACTATACGGGACAATGCTCCAACCAGCTAAGCCACACTGCCCATGTTGATGAATATATCAATAGTCCTGTCCTTTGTATAGGTAGATTTACCATGGTCTGTTCACCTGCTGAAGGAAACTGTTGATTTTAGGCCATTATAATTAAAGTTGATAAAACATTTCCCAGGTGATGCTGTGGTGGGCCACCCAGATTGCCCCTTCAAGCCCGAGTGCTGATGCTGGGAGGTCACATAAGCAACTGGTCGCATCAGAGATGATTGCAGGTCTCTGAATAATAAGCATCAAAGTGCTAAACAAATGAATTCGTATTTGCCCACAAGGCCTGAAATCTCAAACTATTAACTACTCCCTGCAATGGAGAGCTCCTGGGATGTGGTGTCCATACCTAGAACAGACTTGGAATCGCTGCCAGGAGTCACAGTCTATTTGGAGCATCCATCCCAGTGCCACAGAGGGTACTTCCCCTTTTTTTTAAAAAAAGACAACCACTAGAATCCACAGCTAAAAAACTGAAATTCTATCTCCTGAAATTTTGCCTCGTGTTGAATAAGCAGAAATGGCTACAGCAGAGCGAGAGAAGACCGTTTGATGACCTGATTAAAGTGGTTTTAGCTTTTGGAATTTCAGAGGGTCTCAGTATACTAATATGCTGGAGGCCTACAATGTTATTTTTTTATAACTGAAAACCTATGTAATTGCATTTTCTCTCTTTTTTAGTAGTTTGATTTTTAGGAAAGAGAAAGGGAGAGAGAAACAGCAACCAGCTGCCTCCTGCATACCCCCTATCAGGGACAAGGCCTCCTGCATACCCCCTATCAGGACCACAAATCAAACCAACAACCTCCTGGTGCTCGGGACAATGCTCAACCCAGCCATACCAGCCAGGGCGACATTTTCTCCAAACAAGTAAGTGTTTAGTTCTTTAAAAAACTTAAAAGTCACCCTTTTAAAAATAGAAGTATTTTAGCTTACATTGCAATACTAGTTCCTTCATTAATTTTCATTTATTAAATCAGAAATGTGTTCTATTGGGGAAAGTTAATATACTCACTATAACAAACAAAAAAAGTGTGGCAATTTTTCATTCAAGAAAAAATACAACTCCAACATTTGAGTTTTATTTTTAAAGTGAAATAAAAATATTCACAAATTGTTCTCTGTCATCTAGAAAACGTGAGTGATTTGGCTAATATACTTGAATGTGTTACATATTTGGAGACGGGTTGATTTTTGCTTCTCCCACCATATAATTGATATGATGGTGTCATGGGATGAGGATAAATACACATAAAGCTCAAGTCTGAGAGTCCGCATTTTGGTTTGGCCACAGGTATTCCCCAGGATGACACACAGCTTTAAAATAACTGCTTTATAGTCATGACCTGGCTGCACATCTCAATGTGCTCTTGTGGGTCACCAGCCCATTAACTGCAACATTAGCCAGCTGCTGGATGGAGAACACATCATGGCCCAAAGGAGGATGTGGGCAGCCCACTTGATGAGAATGGGGGAAAAAGCATGCCAATAGAGCAGGGGTGGGGAACCTTTTTTCTGCCAAGGGCCATGCAAAATTATCAACTTAAACATCAGACTACTATGCTAGTATTTGGTCAAAGATTTAACTAACTCACTCCTAATGCCTTGGCAGGGCCAGACCAAATGATTTTGCAGGCCAGACATTCCACACCTCTGCTAATAGCAACGTAGATGCAAAGGCCTTACTTAACAAGTTTAGTACCATATGATAAATTCATAGACTCCCATGTTGAAAATAGAGTAGAGAAGAAACTATAACAGACGAAGGTATATATTTGGATATAATGGGGTAATCTGTTCACATGTGGAATTGAATTTTTTAATTTCATCCTTATCCACCTGGGCATTTAAATTATATCACTCATTCACACAATTATATTGACTGAGTTCATGACATGTGTTCAGCACTGTTCTGAGTGTTGTTAGGGACTGTGGCAGAATTTGCTAAGACTACCCACTATCTCTCATCCCATATGACCCTCTTACAATGTGACCATCTCAACCAAAAAAGTACAGTAGAAATGACGCTACGGAGACTAGATTATTCTACTTGTTCTCCTGGGATTGCTCTTGCAACTAAGCTGCTATGCTATGAGGAAGCTCAAAGAAGCTCAATAAAGTTGCCACATGGATGGTCATATGTGGTTTACAATTGTGAGTACACGAAACACAGTTTATTCTTGAACTCGAGGCCCGGTACAGAGATTCATGTACCAGTGGGAGTCCCTCGGCCTGGCCTGCGGGGATTGGGCCAAAACCAGAGCAGGAGAAGGCACTCTGTAAAGTTGCTGTTGCTCAGCAGCTCCTGTGTTGCGCATCTGCCTCCTGGTGGTCAGTGCGTCTCATAGCTACCGGCCAATCGGCTAGTCACTTAGGCTTTTATATTTACGGATTATTTTCCCTATGAACAACTGAAACCTATTTTTGCCCCCACCCTGTATGTAAGTGAAGACACTTCAGTGATTCTAGGTTCCAGCCATCAAGCCAC